GGGGCCAGCTGAAGCTCAGCAAGATGTCAGGTCTCCGAGGTCACACAGTTAGTAGTTCAGGGAGCTGGGATCTGAACTCAGACTGGCATGACTCTGCAGCTCATGTTCACTGGACTCCACCCTCCGTCTCCCGAGCCCTCTCTTAGGTTTGCTCCAAGATTCATCCCCATTGATTTTCCTGCTAACACTTTACTGCTTCTATATTGATTGCACGGACTAAGTTGATATGTTCAGACATAGCATAATAGGGCTTGCTCAGCCTTTGAAGGCAAGGGCCCTCTGACTTGGAGATCAGAGAAGCCCACCTCTTTCAAAGATACACATGATCAATTTGATAAATTTGGCTAATTGTTTTTGGCAGTGGCCACTGATGCACCTGTGTGAACGGAGGGGGGGCTTTTTTCTTTTCAAATACGGTTTATAGTTCTGGCTTTATGCATGTTTACTTAATGGTGCTATTCTTTACTGGAATGTTCCTTGTGAGCATTTCTAGCTTACTCCCCAGCCCCGACTTAGAGATGTCAGAGGACAAGGTAGCAAACCACTTATGGCCCTGTCAGCCCTGAGGGAGGTGGGCTGTCTGAGAGGTGGCCATGTGCCCCATATTTCCTAGGAAGGTCTCAGGATTCAGTATCCTCTCCAGGAGCCACAAATACATTAATATCCAGTACATATCCTTTTAAGAATGATATGCAACTTTCTACATAAAATGTGATGCCTTATAGTAACATGCTGTTTTTTTTAATACTGCATCTGTTACAAAGACTTGTGAGGGATTTATTGAGAAGCCTATGTTATAAGGAATGTTATTTAGATGGCTGAGATGAAAACAAGGGAATATATGACAGGTAAAAATCATGCAATAAGATCCTATTGTTTGTTTGGTGTGGGATCCAGATTTGATTCTGAGCTTCCTAGTGGTCAAAAGGAAAAAGACCAACAAAATTAGTTTTAAGATTCACAGTGTCTATAAAACACAAACAAGTTGGTCTGGGGAATCAGGCATGTGCTGCCTTTAAACTATGTGTATGTTTTAAAATCATATGTACAATACGAAGTTTTTAACTGCTTTCACTTAAAAAGTAGAAAATATACATCCTGGGCTCTTTCAGATCACAACATTTTTGGAGAATAACAATGACCATCAAAAATTGACACTCCAATACAAAATGGAAATCAAGCAGCCTTGAGCTAAGTTTCTAGGAATTTTCAAGACCTCTTCGGCTGACCATATGTTATTTGCTTAAAGAGTAACTGCCATTCCTTATGTAATTTGAGCAAAGTAGTTAACTTCCAGCAAAATATCCTAAGACTTCTGGCAGGCCTTCACTTGGAATACAGTATGTCCTTTCTACACTAATAAAACTTAACTAATTATAAAATTCTTGAAGTTAGGTACTGGAAGAAAAATGTTTTGCACACTTTACAAATAATATGCCTCTGTGGGGTGAATGCTGACTTGTGCATTTCAGGTTTTGGCCTATTTGGATATTCATAAGGGTCCCTCTTTGCTGATTATGTCAGCATAACCTCTTTATTGAATTATGGATTGGGTATTTAATCAAGGCCTGTGCCTTATTATTAGCATGTAACATTCCATTGTTTCAGTGGAAAATGGGATGTGTAAAACCTGCTTCGCATGAAAATCTATTGGTCCTCTAATAAACACTGTTTTATAGTGCACTCTTTTATATCCCTATAACCCTTATCTGCCAGAGAAGTGAGAACAGTATGAACACACCTCATGCTGATGGATTGGGGCAGTGCTTCTGTCAAAGTGGTGGCCAGCTGCGACTGTGTGTGGGTTTTTATGAGTTCGCTATTCCTGTATTAATCCTGGGCTCAAGGGTTGGGGCCCTTTTTGAAGAAACGCCCATATATATTATAGTAAGCTTGTATTCTCATGTAATTGTTCAGTGAGGAGGTTTGATTTAGTTTCATACTTCTAATTACTTGATTGCTCTGTAAACTTGTATAGGACACTTAAAACACTATTGCTTGGACCCCAGTCTCAGATCCACCTGGTCTAAGATTCCCTAAGTGGTCCCTTGCTTCTGTTTCTCTCCATGAGTTCCCACTTCTCTGTCTACTAGTTTGTGCCCTAGTTTAATTGTCTGTATTCCTTCAGTATCTAAGCCTTTCTATGCCTGTCATGCTGTCCACACCCTGCAGTCTTGGTGTCCTTCCTAAAACCCAAGCTCAATCACATATGTTTAGAACCCTCAGCAGTTCCCTGTCATCACAGGGCTCCTCATGATCTAGTCCCCACCTGCTTCTCTAGCTTCTGTTTGTACACTAACAGTTTGCATTTTATCATCCAAAATTAAATACCTCCAAGGCAATCCTAAAGAACTTTCTGTGATGATGTAAATGGTCTATATCGTAGCCGGTAGCCACATATTCCTGTTAAGCACTTGAAATGAGATTGGTGTGAAGAGAGCCAATTGTTTATTTTTTATTTATTTTTAATTAATTCAAATTAAATAGTATATGTACTAGTGGCGACCACATTGGACAGTGCAGTTCTAGATTCTGAATATACTGTCCTACATCTTTGTACCTTGGTTGGCTCAAGTTTATCTCTTTCAAGAATGTTCGTTCCTGTGTTCTTTTTGAAGAAAAATCCTACCTGTCCTCTAAGATTAGCTCAGCTATTCCTTCCCCCACCAAAAACATCCTTCCCTGCCTGAGACTAGATTCAGGGCTGCTCAGCCTAGTACTCACCTCCGCCATGGAGCCCATCATATATTTTACTTTTAGATCATACCATCTCTTGCCTCTGTCTTTTTACTTCCATTCCTCCCTTAAAAATTAAGGTCCTCCAGGGTAGGAGCTAATTCTCTCCTCCTGGTATCCCAAGAATATAGAACAGGACCTGCTGGCCCCCACATAAGGAGAGGCCTTATGATACAATGTAAACTGAACAGACAGTTCTGTCTCCAGCCCACTGTCTGCTTATCAACTCCACAGCTTTGGCCAAATCCACCTGGCTGAGCCTTAGTTTTTTCACCTGTAGATGGGGCATTAAATTCCTCCATTTTCAAGAGATGATGAGGATTACTAATAATACACATCAAGTACCCAGAACATGACAGATGCTCAGTAATTGGTAGCTGCTGTTATCAGGTGTTCTGTGAATGTCTGAGGCTTTACCGGTATCATTCCTCAGGTACTTGAGTGCTTCTCAGTGTTTTAAATACTTGATTAGCAATGTAGCACTGACTCTTTACAATGACCCTGATAAGCAGTGGCGACTCTACTCATTTCACAAGTGAAGTTTTCACTCCACAGCAAGGAAGTGACTTGGGTCGGATTCGAACCCAACTTGCCTGAATGCAAAGCCCATGCTAGACTTCCTCACCTCTGCTCTCACGTGTATCTGTACTTAATTCCAGGTAGCAGTGCACCTATTCAGTTAAAACAAATCACAGGGGAGAATTATTTTAACACAGCCAACAGAATTTCCCTGAAGTAGTTGATTTGGGAGACTGCATATTGCATTCCTTGTACAGTATTTCCATTCCCTGTTTGCAGTTTTTAGGTAAAGAGATAAGGAAACACTTAATCCATTCTCTCAATTAGGTTGTGTAATATATTGTCATGGGCATTTTTAAGATAAGTGTTCAATGATAGTGTTGTGAAATGCGTTGATCAGCTGCATCTCAGAAGTGTCATTGATTATTAGGTCTGTAAAGCAGAAAGACTGCTGGTATCTGGTCCTTGGAGGACTCAAACTCAAAAAGGTTTTGAAGGCAGCTCGTAGGACCATCAAGTCATGGTTTCACTTTCCTGATCTGTACAATGAGCCTTGCTTGCTTTTGAAGAGATTCAGCTAGAACCTGGATCCTGGGCCCTTTTATTGACAACCCTGGGTTCCTTCACCTACAGCTTGTTTTTGTTTTCTGAACATCACTGTCTTCCCTGCCATGTTTATTGAATGTCTGTTACATAAAGGCACTGGGTATTATGGGCACTGGGTTACCTGATCTGGAAAGACAACCACCACTGAGATAGAGCTAGATGGTTGACATTAGGCCAGAGGACAAAGATAAAATGCCCCCCTTTTCCCCACAGTATTGACTAACATTTATGGTAAGTAGCATTTGCCATACCTAAGAGCCCTAGTGTGTGTGTATGTATACACAAGCCTAGGCTTGCTGGATGGATCTGAATCCTAAGAGAAGGTCCAGTAACTTCTTTATCCTATAGTAATGTATATATACAGAGAGAAAGAGAGAGAGAGAGTAACTTGTTTATCCTAACCACAGCCCTGTGCATTGGGTACTAATATCCCTATTTTATAACTGGGAAAATAAACACAGAGAGACTGTGTAATTTGCCCAAGATCTCACAGCCAGTAAGTGTTAGATCTGGGACTTGAACCCAGGTAGTCTGGCTTCAGAGTCTTTGCTCATAACTTAAGAGCTATACTACCTTCCCATTTTTGTACAGATGATTATATTGTAATATAATGAGGTCAGATGGGATAAGTGATATGTGTGGTTCTCAAACTAGCCTACATCATGTTTCCTAAGATTAACAAAGAACATGGCACTACATCAGCCTAGGCTTGCTGAATGGATCTGAATCCTAAGAGAAGGCCCAGAAAATGATATGCTTTAAAAAAGAGTCTCCATAAAATTCATATAGGCAGACAAGTTTGGGCATCACTACCATGAGAAAAAGCACTAAGTGCTATGAAGATGCACTTGAAGGAGTGAGTGAAAGGTTAATTTTTCTGCAGAAGGGTTGGTGAAAGAGAGATGGTGTTAGGAGTACTTGGTATTTGAGCTGGGTGTTAAAAGATGAACATTGGTTAGCTTGGTTTCTTCCATGGGAATAAACCTGGATCATGCCTGGAATGTAATACGCACTCAGAAAAGAAACAGCCAGAGAGAGAGAAAGAGACTTTGTACTTGCATTTCCATGAAAGTGTATGTATGGAACTTGGTGACATAATTTGTCACTGTTAACCCAGGACCAGAATTGGTATAAAATACCTTGTCCAATATGGCATGGTTTCAGGGCCTCCACAGAGTTTCTTCAGAAAATCTTTACCAATCTGTCCACAAACCTTGAAATTTCTCAAAGTTCTGCCTTTCAGTTAAAGTCTTTGCTTGCAGCTGAAAAACAGAAAGTCCCAGGTTGCTGACACATTAAAACATTAAACATTAACATTAGCAGTGCAGCTGCTTTAACCTTTAATGCATATGCCCCTGGGGACATATCAGAATTGAGGGGAGGGGGTGTTGTGAAAATTGTTATTAGCCCAAATAAGTTCTGGGTTAAAACTAATTGAGAAAATGGAGTGAAAATGGTCTTACATTGGGGGAAGGGAAAAGTGGAGCCTAGGGGACAGGAGGACAAGACACTGATCACCCAGTTCCCTTTGCTTTGCTCTAAGACTGGCTTGATCATTTCCAAGTCAAGTTTGTAAACAAAGTTGTTCTTGGAGCCTATAAAAGAGCAGAAGTGAAGATTTATAGCTTAAAAGGAGGATTAACACATTCGCCAGAGTGTGAACAGTGTGTGTTAAAGAGGTTCTTGCAGGATTGCTATTTTCTTTTTCTTTCCTCTTTTTACCCCCTCAACTAGGACAAAATGAACACAGAAAAAGAACATTAATTCTAAAACACCAGAACTGGTTTGTGAAAATTGGCACGCTGCTGTAATCCTCTGTTTGACAGATTAATATCCTAAGGGTCAGTGTTCACCATCTGTCCCAATGTTTTTCTTATTTAAATAGTGCTTTTCCTTACTACATGTAAAAACAAGCCATTGTAAATTACTCAAAACTTACAAGAAACCCAAACTTCATATTGCCTGCACACACACACACACACACACACACACACACACACACACACACACACAGTAAAAAGAGAGGGCAAAAAACTTTACTTCAATAGCTAATCATTGTCTCAAGTATACAAAAATGTTTCAAGTATTTTTTTAAAAAGATTTTACCATTTTCCCCCCTGGCTTTTAAAGCAGTACAAGTGAGGAGGCAAGGTGATTTATTTTGATGATCTCAGTAATAAAAGCTCAAGGGGAAAATTGGTTCATAGTGAATACAGCCACTTTTCATTAAATGCAGCTAAAGGCCTAAGATTGAATCTGAAATGGAGACTAGATCTGCCATTTGAATCAGCGACAAATACACAATTTGCATTGGACATACATTCTCATAGGGTCATGTTAAGAATGCAGCAGGCTGAGAACGAAAATTAAATTGACTTCTCACCTATTGTTGTCCCTCCATGAGCTCTGGTCTCTGGAAGTCATTAATGGCTGCAGGTACAAAGGATGGTATGTAGCCCTTTGGGGTTTTCCCAGTCACTGAGATATTTAGCAGATTGCTGCTTTAGGCCTTGATCCGCCGTCCACCTTGGCTGCACTGGAATCTCCTTTAAGTAAAAGCAGCAGGGGCTTCTTTTAGCACCACAGCCTGGAAAGCAGCCCTACATCATTAAATGAGGTGTCCAGGCTTTGCCTCTAATCCACCCCAAATCCCAGGTGCCCGTTTGCTGCATGGAGTCTGAATATGAAATTACAGGATTTCTAAATGAGTCTGAAATCTGATGATACTCTCTTCCTCAAACTTAAAAAAAAAAAAACCTTTATTTCTTCCTTATTAAAAGTAACCTAAATAAACTAATTGCTATTAGTTAAAGAAAACCTTTAAAATGTCATATATATATATTTTATATTTTTCTTTCTCAACTATCCTTTAATCTCTAGAAGGTGGAAAGAGGGCTGGGAGCTGCTCTCCATTTTTGTACCTAATAGGTGCCACACACTGTGTTAGATGTGTTATGTATATGATCATACCTTTTTTCCCCAGTATTTTATTGTGTAACAATAAAGATACATAAAATAGAATAATGAATAAAACATTGGTGGAAAGCCTAATGAATGATTTAAAAATGAACACCTCAAACACATACCAAATCAAGACATTGTAACATAACAAGCACACCACAATTTCCCCACATCCCTTCTCAGTCATAATCACTTCCTCCTCTCTAACAGAAACTCTCCTGTATGAGACTTACTTCCTTGATTTTCTTCATAGTTTATCTACAAATAAATAAAATCATAAATTAGTTTCATTTTGTCAGATTTTCAATTTCATATAAATACAAGAACACAGTGGTATATTCTGTTCTGCTTATCTCCTTTAGCACAGCTTATATTTGTATGATTCATCTACATTGTTGCATGTAATAAAATACTTTAGTGTTCATTTTTTTTATCTTGTTACCATTAATATACAATCACATGAGCAACATTGTAGTTACTAGATTCTCCCCATTATCAAGTCCCCACCACATACCCCATTACAGTCACTGTCCATCAGTGTAGTAAGATGGTATAGAGTCACTACTTGTCTTCTCTCTGCTATACTGCCTTCTCTGTGCCCCCTGCATGTTATGTGTGCTAACTGTAATGCCCCTTATTCCCCTTACCCCTCCCTTCCCACCCACACCTCAAGTTCCTTTCCCTTTGGTAACTGTTAGTCCATTCTTGGGTTCTGTGAGTCTGCTGCTGTTTTGTTCCTTCAGTTTTTCCTTTGTTCTTATACTCCGCAGATGAGTGAAATCGTTTGGTACTTGTCATTCTCCACCTGGCTTATTTCACTGAGCATAATACCCTCTAGCTCCATCCATGTTGTTGCAAATGGTAGGATTTGTTTTCTTCTTATAGCTGAATACCATTGTGTATATGTACCACATCTTCTTTACCCTTTCATCTACTGATGGACACTTAGGTTACTTCAATTTCTTGGCTATTGTAAATAGTGCTGCAATAAACATAGGGGTGCTTATGTCTTTTTGAATCTGAGAACTTGTTTTCTTTGGGTAAATTCTTAGGAGGGGAATTCCTGGGTCAAATGGTATTTCTATTTTTAGTTTTTTGAGGAACCTCCAAACTGCTATCCACAATGGTTGAACTAGCTTACATTCCCACCAGCAGTGTAGGAGGGTTGCCCTTTCTCTCCATCCTTGCCAGCATTTATTGTTCTTAGTCTTTTCTATGTTGGCCATCCTAACTGGTGTGAAATAATATCTCATTGTGGTTTTAATTTGCATTTCTCTGATAATTATCTATGTGGAGCATCTTTTCATGTGTCTGTTGGCCATCTGAATTCCTTCTTTGGAGAAGTGTCTATTCATATCCTCCGCCCATCTTTTAAAAGGGTTATTTGCTTTTTGGGTGTTGAGGTGTGTGAGTTCTTTATATATTTTGGATGTTAACCCCTTGTCAGATATGTCATTTAAAAATATATTCTCCTATACTGTAGGTTGCCTTTTTGTTCTGCTGATGGTGTCCTTTGATGTACAAAAGAAGCTTTTCATGATGATGTAGTCCCATTTGTTCATTTTTGCTTTTGTTTCCTTGTCTGGAGAGATATGTTCATGAAGAAGTTGCCCATGTTTATGTTCAAGAGATTTTTGTGTATTTTTTTTTCTAAGACTTTTATGGTTTCATAGCTTACATTCAGGTATTTGATCCATTTTGAGTTTACTTTTATGTATGGGGTTAGACAATGATCCAGTTTCATTCTCTTGCATGTAGGTGTCCAGTTTTGCCAACACCAGCTATTAAATAGGCTGTCATTTCCCCATTGTATGTATATCCATGGTTCCTTTATCATATATTAATTGACCATATATGCTTGGGTTTATATCTGGGCTCTCTAGTCTGTTCCATTGGTCTATGGGTCTGTTCTTGTGCCAGTACCAAATTGTCTTGATTACTGTGGCTTTGTAGTAGGGCTTGAAGTTGGGGAGTGTAATCCCCCCAGCTTTATTCTTCCTTCCCAGGATTACTTTGACTATTTGGGGTCTTTTGTGGTTCCATATGAATTTTAGAACTATTTGCTCTAGTTCATTGAAGAATGCTGTTGGTACTTTGATAGGGATTGCATTGAATTTTTAGATTGCTTTAGGCAGGATGGCCATTTTGACAATATTAATTCTTCCTACCCATGAGCATGGGATGTGTTTCCATTTATTGGTATCTTCTTTAATTTCTCTCATGAGTGTCTTGTAGTTTTCAGAGTATAGGTCTTTCACTTCGTTGGTTAGTGTTCATTTATTTTTATTGAAATTTAGTATTCTGTTATATGAATATGCCATAATTTTTAAAATCCATTCTATGACATCTGGGCTTAGAACTCCTTAGTATAATGTTAGTATAACCATTCTTTTAAAACATAGGCTGGTACATGTAAGCTTGCATTTTGGTGGGATGGGATTGCTGGGTCAGAAAGTGTGTATATCTTTAGCTGTAAGTACATTATGTACATTTTCAGCTTTATTATGTATTACCAAATTTTCCCAAAGTGATTGGTTCAGTCCCCAATCCTGGCAACAGTTCATGTTGGTCCATGCCTTTGTCAACACTTGGTACTTCCAGACTTTTACAAGTTTTTTCATCTATGATCATATTTATTTCTACCATACTCTTCCAAGGAAAAGAGTCAGAGCCCCATTTTACAAGTAGGAATGGTATAGTCTCAATTTTGAAAAAGATGCCATAAAACTCATAAAGCATGAGGGAGATATAAAAAGGACTGAGTCCATAACTAAATAGGTCAGATACCTTCATTTTAGCCCTATACTGTGAGTTGAGGGGAGTACAGAATCTGTGAGACCTAAACACCAGATATATCTTGTATTTTACTGCTTTGGAAGTAAAAATCTCTAAGAATGACATGTGCTTTGGTCAGTATAGAAAAATAAATTGTTAAATAACATAACTAAAACAAAATAAAAATAATGATGTTGGTAATACCTCTGTCTACCTTTTATGGAATGCTGATTCTGGACCAGACACTGAACTGAGCAGTTTCCATAAATTGTTCCCAGTGCACTTTGCCATGGCTGTGTGCTTCAGAGTTCGTGAGTGATATGTGGCAAGGTGAAGACCGGGTTTGCAGAGTTGTGGGAATTGTTATATTGCTTGAGGGTCTGGATGTCTGTGTCCAGTTCTACATGGACATTGTGCATAAAGTTCACATTAGAAAAGTAAAGTGCCCCTATGACCTTGTTACTTGTACGTTTGCCCCAGAGGTCTCGGATCGTCAAGATACACTGTCCCTACCTTACAAAATGAGCTCTCTTGCAAATCTTTGCCCATAAACAGAAGGATCCGGATTTCACACTCAATCCTTCCCATTAGTGAAGTAGAACAGGCAGGCAAACAACAGAGATTTTACATATTGTCTGCCAAGGAAAGAGTGTAATATTCTAAAACAAGATTGGGATTATGGTGGAGTTTTTGTTGAACATAGGATACTTCTCTATAACACTGGTTAATGCTGAAACTAAAATGCCAGAACTCCAAGGAGACCTGAGAATACTCCTACCCTAACATACATCTTCTTGTTTGACCCTTACAACAATCCCATGGAGTAGATATACCATTACCACATTAGATTGTGGGGGGGTGGTCTTTGCTAGGGAAAGGTTAAGGACCTTGCCCAAAATCACACAGATAGACTGTGACAAAGTCTACATTCCAGGTCTATCAGTATTTCTCTCCCCTGCTATGCTGTAATGCTTCCAGTCAGGAATAAAAAATCAAACCAGGAAATTCAGCCTGTTCAGGATATCAGCATGGTATCTGGCTTTCCTGAGAGTGAGGCTTTCCTGAGTTTGTCATTGTGCTAGGTTTTTAACTGTCAAGTATTTGACATTGTGCAATAGTATTTTAAAGAATTCTGTGAGCAGAGAGCAAGCACCTACCTCATCTGGAATCTGTACAAGAAGACCATGACCTTTCTGTGAGAGTCCTCCAAGTTGGGCCATTGTTATGCTATTTTGGGGCCCTGTTAGTTCAGTGTGTATATGTTATGTAAATGGTTAATATTTTTCTAATGTTCAGCAAAGAGCTACATGCAAAGGCTGTAGTTGTAATTTGAATGTAATTTTTTTGTGGTGATATAAATACGACTCTATTTGAAGTGGGTTGAATTAGAAAACTCATGAATAAATGCTTTGACATAATCAGAATTATATAGCAAGGAATTGACCTACTTTGCAGGAAGACTCCTCTGGAGTTCCTTAGCTAATAGTGTGTTAACCCAACAGAGAAATCTTTCTGCTAATAGCACTTAGCAGAGAAGATTGAAACCTGTAGTTGGTCAGGTAATCCCCAAAAGAATCATTTAAAGTCTGGGATGATTAAAAAAATGACTCATACCTTCTTTTAAATTTTATTTCAACTGAAAATATGTAATAAATGTGCATCAATTTATTGATCTTTTGATGTCAGCATAAGGACTTTCTTGGCCTTAGAATACAGTCTTGCTAATTGGAATGCTGTGTGCTCTTCTAATAAAGTCCATGTCTGTAAAACATCTCTGATTTTCCAGTTTTTTTTTTTAAGTGTCATGAGGATTTAAAAACACTTGTGAAGAAACCAGACTTTTGGGTCCCTGTGCTTTTTCACTTAATTTTTTGTTGTTTTTGCTGCCCTTTCTTTTTACAACTTGCCCCCCACCTTTTT